TAAGGCTCTTTGAAATTTCCTTCTTCATCTTCTTTCTGAAGGAAATGTAAGCATGGATGTTGTCTACGATGCTGGAATCTCCACCCCGCCTACGTAAAGCTGACTGAAGGTGTTCAACTTCCTCCTTCATGGTCAAAATAATGTCTCTCGCGGCAGTGCAAGCATCTAACATTTCTACTGACCCATCAACTGCCACTTCAACCGGCTCTGCATGCTGCTGACGGTGAAGAGCTTGTTGGGTGAGAGGAGACCGGATGAGTTCCTTGACGCTGTTATATAACTCCGCCAACCTGGTGAACCCAGTTTGTATGGTATCAGAAGCAGAGGATGAGTCAAAATTTTGAAGCTTTTTCAGCTCTGCTTCAATACAATTAGACTGAAACCTGGATGGCAAGCTAATGGACCTGATATGAAAGTTTACAGAACCTACCATTTTGATCGAAAAAGCTGAAAACTCACTGAGTTTGCAGGGTTAGATGCACAACTATTTATATTTATAAGAGCAATGCAAATTCATGAAGAAGTAGAACAGTAACTAGGCATGTGATGGCAATGCATCCTTGTAACACATTTGGGATGCAACCTGTAGCCTCTATTTCATTCTTTAATCTTATGGTCCTAATTTAGGAGGCGTATAGGTTTGAATTGTTTGATTAACTTTTTTGGCTAATGATCCTCAAATCAGAAACAAATAGTACCGGTCATGCAATCAAATATGCTGCATTGCCTCCCCCACTCATTTGTATCATATCTTCTGCTGCACCAAGATTTGATGATGTTTCTTACGATTTGTTTATGAACAAGAAAGGCTGGCATTTCGCTATTGTCTAATACAAAAATAAGTTAAATAACCAGATGTATTGAATTATTTGACCAAGAAGATTTCTAGCTCAAGAATCTAGGCCAACAATGAGGTTGCAAGAGGAGGAGACAGTATAGTTTTTCTGTGGTTTTCTCTTCTATTGCGGAAGATAATGGAATCCTAAACAGAATAAACTTGTTGGCTATAAGAATCATATAATAGCCCAATACAAAGAATGCCATGCACCACATCCTCTACTCTATTTACTACCCATGAAGAAACTCTGATTCCTTGTCTCCTATATTTTATACTTGGTGACCTAGTTTAATCATAAAATATTTTCCCAATAATCATTCAACAAACCAACACATGAATCTTCAATCATATATCTTGTAGACTGATCATAAAACTTGAATCAGTTTACCATATCTGGTCCATAATTGAAGGGTCACAAGATTATTTAGGTGGAAATCTCCATATTCGTCCTTGCTGTACCATATTTCATTCCTCCTCTCAATGATTAAAGCCACTAGATATGGAATTATTGATGCACACAGATATTTTATGCCTACAAGTTTCACAAATCTAGCTAGATTGATTATGCACCATAGTATAATGCTTTTTTCATTTCTTTATTTCGATATTATGCATAATTTTAATTTAGACATATTACTTTCAGTTTGGATTAACAAAAAAAAACTGACCAACTATATTGAAAAAGAGCAAAATGTCATTAATGAATCATGCACTCACGTGAGTTCATTAATGATATTTTGTTAATTATCAAGAACCACTGAACTGGAGAAACAATTAAAATTACTTCAGGCAAACACATATTTACAGTTGGAAGTGTTCATGAACTCAAATGTATCAATCTTATGACTATATAAAACAACTGGGAATGACACACAATGGAAGCACAATGAAATTAAACAAATAAAAAACAAGATAGGCAGTTGAGTACTAACAAAAAGAATTGATGTAACAAGGAAGAACGTACTAATCATGGAGCATGGCCTTGTTCCCTTGCTTTCTTAAGCCACTTCAGCATCCGATGTTGAGTAAGCAGCAACATCCGTTCATCTCTTCTTATCTCAATTGAACGGGTCATCAAGCTTAACATTGACAGGTCCAAGTCCAAGCGGAATCCTACATCACTGTTCAGGACCATGGTGGATTAATTGATGCAGTGGAAGGTATCTAGAAGGAGACTATGAGGAAAATACTTATAATGTTGAATTTGAAGCTGCTTGTGCGGCAAACAAGGTGATTTGTGAGAAGCTTGATGAAGGCAAAAAGGCATCTATTGAAGGGTGTAACTGAATTTGTCATCAAACTAGACAGGATGCCTTGACATGATTTTGCCTTCAAATTTTTTAGAAAATAACCTCGTTTGCCGCGCGAGCAGCTTCAATTGAAAGTTATAAGTATCTTTCTCATAGTCTCCTTCTACCTCATAGTTTCCTTCTAAATAGTTCATGAACAACGCTGGATTCCCCTTGTACTTGGACCTGTAAACGTTGAATGTTGAATTTATGTATGTTACGGGTAAATGCCACATTTTCACCATGCTACTTCCTCGTCCAAAACTTCTATTTCCTTGCTCCCTCAACTCACCGTGACCCGCACTCATTAAGCATATCCAGCAACCTTGTAGCCTCAGTTAGGTTGTCTAAATTACAAAAACATTGTCAATTAATCATCCCCTGAAGTCCTACACTTCCATAAGCTTCTTAACAAGAAAATTGAAATTAAAATTGTTAGGTGGCGGATGCTTTAAAAACAATTCCCTTACCAATTCTACAGGATCATCAGCGCGCCCCAATTCCCAAAGTGATCCGATGGCAATATTAGCCGTAACCTGATTGTGATTAAACCCATTGGCAACCATAAAAATTAAGGGTTTTAAAGAAGGTGAAGAGGTGGGGTTGGTTTTTGCGTTCGCATTTGGGCTGGAACAGCCCATTTAGATTTTGAGCCGCTCAAAAGATAAGGCTTTTCTCAAGGTATATTGATCCAAATAAAAATGAAGTCGGTTGTCCTGTCATTTATGCTCCTTTGTTTCATTGAAAAAATATAATATTTAGAGCAAAAATCA